CTTCTGCCGTACGTCGCCGGGATGGGGCTCTTCTTCGTCTGCTGGTTTCTCTGCGAGAGCCCGCAACCCCGCGGCTGCCATGGCCACACGCAAGTGGTGCGTGCCCGTTCCGGCCAAGCCGATTCGGTACTGCAGCGCTTGTGCCAAAAACAGTCCAGGGCTCGACCATCACTGCACGTGGTACGGACCTTGCTCGTCAATGCTTCGGTTATGACAAAGGGCGTAGGCTCAATACGTGCATTGGCGAGGCCAACTACGAGCCTTTTTACCTCCTGATCCTATCCGGCACCTGTGCAACGCTGTACCAAGCCGTCGTGGGCATCGTCCTGGCCACCTACTGGCTCGACGACGTTCTCGTGTGGCATCCGGCAGCGCACCGGGACGGCCTTCTCGTACCCCTATTTTGAGTGATCGGCACGGAGTTGAGAGCTGTGTTTACACTAATAGGTGGCGATCTGGCTGCACAATATTATCTGCCTCGTGCTGGGCGTGGCATACGGCGCCCTCACGGGCTTCCACACATACCTGCTCTACCTCCGCATGGGCACGTACGACTTTATCCTCAAGTACGGCATGCAGAACCGCTGCATTCGGATGCTCAAGTGCCAATGCCTCTCGCCCTCGCGGCCGCTGAAAACCAACGTACCGTCCAAAACCCCAAAATCGCCGCCCACGCCTGCTAAAAAAGGGGACAGCGTCACGCCCGACAGCGCCGCCGACTGGAAGCAGTCTCGCAAGCTCGGTCCGACGGCAGGTAATGCGACGATGGCGGCGACAAAGGTGTCGGAAGGACGCCGATCGACCAAGATCTCGGTCGTCGACGAGCTCACAGACGTCCCGCATGCCCGGCGCTCTGGGTCCATCAAGTCGTTTGAGCATCTCTCGGTGCATGAAGTTCAAATGGCACCTGCACCCGTCTCGGCCGCGGCCAACAACGACGACCCATCCATGGAGAGTGATCCCTTGGAGTAAAACCACCACCGACTATGCGCTAACATAGTAGTAGTAGAGACCACCTTTGTAGTAGAATGCCAGCGTCGGGTTTCGCTCGTGTAAGACAACTTGTCCTCTGCGCGCAGGCTGGCGGTTTTTTTACACCCGCGTCGACGATCGCAATGCAATGGTGTGCCCTCCGCACGACTGCATGCTTGAAAGCTCGAGCGCAACGAGACTCTTCCGCGCGTACACCGGGATTGGCACGTCGGTAACCTTTAAGAGACTTGCCTGTTGGCAATGGATCTTCAACGATTCGGATCGGTTGACTCGGTCTAAGTATAATATAGAGAAAGGAGGTGGTTTTACAATGGCTGGTCACTCCAAATTTGGTAGCCTGGTTTCCACCTGCCTTGCACGCTTTTACGCGCCGCAACGACCTCTTGTCCTTTGTCTTGGCTGACGCCTCTGCAAGTGCCTTTTACAAGTCTCTAAACCTTCAAAACTGACGCTTCTCGCTCGCACTCGACGCCGCAAGGGACCCCGACACGCGCCTGGGCGAAGGGCTGCTTCAAGTCCCGTGGTCCGCTGCTATCGCAGACATTTCCAACGAGCCCCTGACAGCTTGCAACGACCCGACCCTTGGCGGTGTCGGAAATGAGTCGTCTATGGTGCCGAGCCAATTGTAAAACGCGTTAAACGAAGCAAGCGTGTGGACTGGACAGCCGCTAAATGCACTCCGAGTGCCACGTTGAAATGGGTGCAAGATACATGCGACGCGCCTGCGACACGGCGCGGCGACAACAACTCGCTCTCCTCGTGCTCTAGTGCTCCAGTCCATCGATCCCGCAGACTCTCGGGTCCTTCGCAGTGTGCGCAGGAAACAGGACGACGTCGTCTTTCGCTCGCGACGGCAGCGATGCAAGGGTGACAAGGGAGCGAGCTACCGCGTACTGAGCAACACAACACCTAGTACGCTGCACCCATTGCTCGATGGCGTCCCACTCGCCTAACGTGTCCATCTCTTGAGGTTTGTATGCTTCCCCTTGGGTGGCGCCAACGTAGCCTAACGTTTTTGATGGGGATTGCGCCACTTCAGCCTATTCTCAACATCGTCTCGAAGAAAATGACACGCATGCAAGCACCGCATTAACAGCACCAACCATGTATACCTCTTTCCCCACTCGACGCGCGACACCCACAATATAGCCGCATTTTCTCTGCAGTACGCGTAGCCGGAACGCCATAGACAACCCATCGACGGCGTGTTCGACCCATGGCGGGTGGAGACAAGACAGTATTGGGAAAGTCCGCGCGCGTGCCAGACGTCGGCTGGCACACTTTTCGCCGCGCCATGGCCGACGTCCGTCCGTCCATGGACCTCTACGAGCGACGCTCCGGCGTCTTCTCGTCCGCATCGCCGTTCACAGAGGCCAGCTTTGATGTGACCGAGAGCATTCGGCTCACGGTCGGTGGCGCCTTGCGCCCGGGGGGCGCGCCCTCGTATAGCAGCCCGGCCGTGCTTGCGCTGCTATCCCAGTACGTAGCGATCGGCCTCCTCTACGGGTCGCTCCCCAACCTCCTCTACCCGTACTTTACGGGCTACTTCCACGTACAAGGCCATCAGTACAACTCGGCCAAGACTCTTCTCACGCTCGGCTGGTCGCTCAAGGTCTTTGTCGGCATTCTCTCCGACTGCGTGCCGATCGCTGGCTACCACCGCAAGCCGTACATGCTCCTCGGATGGACATGCACACTGCTCTGCATGGCCGTCCTCGCCACCCTCGACTTTGGCCGGCCCTTCAACGAGACCGGTGACGAGGCCGCGAGCGCCCGAACCGCGGGTGTCGTCGCGATCCTTCTCGGCCTCGCGACCATCTCGTATGTCATTGCTGACGTGCCCGCAGACGCGCTCGTCGTCTCGATCGCGCAGCGCGAGTCGATGGCCACGCGCGGGCGCATGCAATCGCTCGTCTATATGACGCGGACTCTGGCGTCCGCAGTCGCCGCGTCGATCGTCGGTGTCGGTTTGAACTCGAACCGCTTTGCCGGCAACTACTCGTGGGACATGGGCGTCAACACGATCTTCCTCCTTCTTGCCGTCGTTCCTTGCGCTGTCATGCTGCCGATCACGGCCCTCTTTGTCTGCGACGACACGCATCCTGGGGACCAACACGACGAGGACCATGAGGACCGCATGAGCTTTGCCGGCTATCTGCGTCAGTGCTGGGCGCTTGTCCAGAAGCGCGTGACGTGGCAAGTGATGCTCTTCAACTTTCCTCTTCAATTTCTTCAACGCCGGCATGGCCTCACGGCCGCCCCGTACGTCATGCTGCACTGGCGCACGTCGAGAACCTCAACAGCCAGCTCGTCACGATCGGCGGCAACCTCCTGTTTGCGGCCGCGCTCGCCGCCAT